GTGGTGACCGTCTGCAGACAGCCTGGCAGAGGAAGAGGAGAAACAAGCAGTTATAGAAGCCATCAGGATAGGTGTTGGGCCCAGCAGTTAAGACCCCATCTGAGGGTTCAGCATTGTGGCATGGTGGGCTAAGCCTCCATGTGCAGTGCTGGCTCCCATATGGGCACCGGTTCTAGTCCCAGCTGCCCCTCTTCCGATCTAGCTCTCTGCTGTGGCCTGAGAGAGCAGTAGAAGATGGCCCAAGTCCTTGGGCCCCTGCACCCATATAGGAGACCAGGGAGAAGCTCCTGGTTCCTGGCTTTGGATCGGCACAGCTCTGGCCATTGCAGCCATTTGGGGAGTGAACCAGTGGATGGAGGACCTCTCTTTCTCTCTCTCTCTCGGTCTATAACTCTCAAATAAATAAAATCTTTTTAAAAATAAAAAAAGAAAGACCCCATTTGGGCTGTCCACATCTCATATTGGGTGCCTGGTTTCAAGTCTTGTTCTGCTTCCAATCCAGCTTCATGCTAATACACTCGCTGGGTGGCAACGGTGATGGCTCAAGTAGTTGGGTCCCTGGCACCCTCATGGGAAACCTGGATTGAATTCCCAGCTCCTGGCTTCTCTTCCTGGCCCCGCACCAGCTGCTGGGGAGTGACCTAGCAGATGGACAAACTTTCTCTCTCTCTCTCTGTCTCTGTGCCTTTCAAATAAAATGAAAATGAATGAACACTATAGAAGCGATATATTTTAGCACAGGACTCGTGAAGCCAGCCAGTGTGGTCTCTCCTAACGTGGTCTTCTCTGGGCATGGATGCGCTTCCTCTCCTGCAGCTTGTGGGGCTCTGCAGAGACGGCCCCGCTGCCGGCTGCTCTAGGGTTGGGCACTATCTGTGTTCGACGGGGCAGTCTGGGAGCGAGGGGATGGAGTGTTTAGTCTCCATCCTTCCGCACTCTGTACTGGAAATCTGGGTTTTTCTTCTCTGTTGCTGTCAAATTTTCTCGCCCATTTAGAGAATTTTTTTTTTTTTAATCAGGCAGAGTGGACAGTGAGAGAGAGAGACAGAGAGAAAGGTCTTCCTTTGCCGTTGGTTCACCCTCCAATGGCCGCCGCAGCCGGCGCATCGTGCTGATCTGAAGGCAGGAGCCAGGTGTTTCTCCTGGTCTCCCATGGGATGCAGGGCCCAAGCACTTGGGCCATCCTCCTCTGCACTCCCGGGCCACAGCAGAGAGCTGGCCTGGAAGAGGGGCAACCAGGACAGAATCTGGCACCCCGACCGGGACTAGAACCCGGTGTGCTGGCGCCATAAGGCGGAGGATTAGCCTATTGAGCCACGGCGCCGGCCGAGAGCATTTCTCATTTCCTGCCCAGTTTCTTGTTTTTGTCAAGAGCTATGTTGCTCAAAACCAAACCTGGAGAGGTGCTTCATCTTTCCCCCCTTCTCTGGCAAGGAAATGTGATTTATGTGACTTGCAGTGACAGGCCTGTCCTCTGTGCCATAAGCAGGATGTGCCCCAGGTGACAGCTCCAGGGAGAGCTGTGCGCTTTTCATGTGGTGCCCAGAATTCAACATGCCAGAGCTCAGAGGTCTTACACAAAGCCAGTGCCTCTGATCCCACTCATGCATGGGATTTATTTCCAGTTTTGCTACAGTAAATGCAGTTTCCTGAGTGAGCCCCTGCAGCACGCATAGACCCATGGGCTGAAGTCTCGGGCGGACATCCTAGGAAGCCCCGGAGACACAGCAGTGGCCACCATGGTTTCCTTCCTGGCAGGTTGGCGGAGTGAGCTGAGTTGGTGAGAATTACCGGGCACGCTGCCTTTGCTCCTAAGGCTGCCTAGTCTGCAGACGGTCTTTTCAGATAAGGTGGTCGGCCAGCAAGGGGAGCTTCCGGGACAGGGTTGGAGAGGCAGCTGGAAATAAGTCCTGCTTCTGCCCTACACACCTCACCTCTGCTCCCTTCTCCCCGGTTTTTCCAGAGTCTGTGTTCGGTAAACCCGCGGTTTGTGTTGTCTTTATTTGTACGGTCCTGATGATACTGGCGCGCGCCGGCTGTGTGGGGAGTGGTGTCCTCCTCACTGCTCTTGGCTCCTTGCAAGTGTGAAGTTGCTTCAGCTGATCTCCATTTCCAGAGCTGTCACCATCTCTCTCTGTTCGGCTCTCCGGAGCGAATGTGATTTTCATGACCGAGCCAGGGAAGAGAAAGCCTTGCCTGGGGTAGATATTACAACAGGGACCCTGACCCTCAGGGCAGGTGACACAAAGATCACAGAGAACGTTTTCTGCCCCCCTGGGAGGACTTAGAGGATAGAAATCAGACGCCACTTCATACATTAGTAAAGACCGTACATCATCTGCCCATCGTAACCAAGGCTGTTGGGGCTAGAACATGGGCTTTGTGGCCTTGGTTTCAGAGGTGAGAACCTGGCCGTGAAGGGACTCATTCAAACTGGGAGATGGGGGACAGTGGCCGCACCTCCTCCCTGCCTCCTGTGTTGGACCAGGGGCCTGGCGCCCTGAGCAGCATTACAGGCAGGTCCTGGGAGTTTGGGCCACACAGAGCTGTGTTATTTCTGCATGATGCCTGCAAGACTGCATTGGAATCCTGCTGCTGCGGACGCACTGTGTGTGACCACCCTCACACGTTTTATAGAACTTGGTTCTGGGGACAGAGGTGTTGAGGGGGGCCCACGAACCTCCTCCTGAGTGTCCTGGCTGGCTCAGTGCAGACAGCCTGGTCCCTCAGAGGCGTAACTGACAGCCTGTGCAAGCAGGCCGTCCCAGCTGCTTGGAGGACACCGTGGAGTAAGTGCTCCTTTCTTAGTCCTGCCTCCAAGGTGGCGCAGGGCTTCAGCAACTGGCCTTGAAGGGGAAGAGCCTGGACAGCCTGGGGGTGCAGTTAATGCCCAACAGGCACAGTCAGCCTAGCACTGAGACCTGCAGCTGGCGAAGGCGGACACTGGCTGAGGTCGAGGCCAGGAAGCCGTGATGCACCAAATATGGAAGCCTGGGCCCAAAGCGAAACCCAGAGAGAGGCAGGCAGAACACTCGGGAGCGTCCGCTCCTGGCATGGCCGTGGGCTGGCTTTCCTCCTTTGGCTGGCAGACTGAATGAGCTCAACTAGTGTGTGTCAAGAAGGACTCGGACCTAGCTCCAACTTGTCTCTCTGATTTCAGCTCTCACCTTGTAAATACTAAGCCTGAAAGTGGAGGTAGCTATTATATTGTGGCCTGTTTGGAGGTCGCCCAAGGAATTCCTCCCAGGACTGAATTGCTTCTACCGTTAATGCCAGAGGCATAGAAACCACTGCAGGCTTTGGGGTCAGAGGGTCCTAGGGCAAAGGCAGAAGCAGCTACCTAGGTGTCCTTGAAAAACGGCCCCCAAAGAGTTGAGCTTTCCTGGGATTTCCCTTCACGTGCAAACTGCAAGTTTGTCAGATAGATGTACAACTTGGTTAAACGCCAGTGCATCACAGATGCAATTATGCTTGAGAACGAGCTACTTCTTCTAATCTCTCTGCCATCACTGATTAATTAGACACTTTGAACTATGCCCAACTGTTTGAAAGCTGTGAAAAATACAACCTGCATAGTTAAAATTTCGGCACAAGCCTCTTTCCTCATTTTTGCCTGCGCTCACCATTCTTCAACCATAATATGTATTTATACATGTTTCCAAACACACAATCTGGCTATTTTCTCATCATGGTTCCACATCCCTCTACTGCTGGCCAAGAAATACACTCACACAGTAAATCTGATAACACAAGTGTGGGAGAGACCAATCAAAGAAAATAGGCATACCTTTTAGATGGCTGCTGCCACTGGCCACACTTGTAAAATGTATGCTTTTGTCTTTTAAATCTTGCATGAATGCCTCAGCAAGGGCTGTTGCTATTGACATCATTTTGAGCGGTGTCTGTTGAGATTTTAGAAAATGTTTGTGCCTGCCTGCTAGGAGCTGGGCGGGGGTAAGGCAGCTGGTGCAGGGTCTAGAAACCGTCTTGTGTATGACATATAATTATCAGGTAATACCTGACCCTGTTTTGCAAGTAATTTCTAGCGTTTCTTTTCTGTGATGGGAATTTTAAAGTAATTGAGCAGAGAAAGGCCCGTTCCACAAATGGAGAAGCCCAGGCGAGGGGTGCCTAGACTTGGCCCCTGCTGACTCCCGCAGGGTGCACCCCCCAATCTGAGGGACAGGGACGTCCGGACAGGCTCACGAGATCAGCTGGAATTCGTCTGTATTTCCCTTGGTGCCTCATCTTTGCACCAAGCCTTGAACTCTGAGGCCTCCATGGCCAACTCCCCATGGTCCCTGGGCCTTGGATGCAGCTGTGCTGTGGTTGATGTCCCAGAGATGGACAAGTAACGATCTTTCCCACTTTTGAGGAAATATTTCCATTTGACCTTACCCTTTTTTTGGAAATACATTTTTTTAAAGATTGATTTATTTATTTGAAAGGCAGAGTTACAGAGAGGCAGAGAGAGAGAGAGAGAGGTCTGCAATCCGCTGGCTCACTCCCTAAATGGCTGGAGCTGGGCCAATCCGAAGCCAGGAGCCAGGAGCTTCTTCTGGGTCTCCCACGTGGGTAGAGGGGTCCAAGCACTTGGGCCATCTTCTACTGCTTTCCCAGGCCATCAGCAGGGAGCTGGACCAAGTGGGGCAGCTGGGACTCTGAGTGGTGCCCACATGGGATACCGGCACAGTTGGTGGCAGCTTTAGTCACTGCACCACAGCGCTGGCCCCAGAAATACATAATATATATGTATGTATGTATGTATGTATTCCTTCCCACTCCTTCACCTCCCTCATGAATTCCAAACCTGATTATATGCTTTTTGAGAAAAGCCAGTCGGCATCGATCTGGTACCCCCAGATCCAGGAGGAGGCACCTGATGCACCCGCCTTAAGCCAGGTGGCTTTGGTGAATGTGTTGTGAGTGGAGCACAGTGGAAAGGCTGCAGGTGACTGTGAAATTCTGGTTTTTATTGACTTCTCCCCCATTCCCCCCAGGTGACAGCTTGCCTGACTGCTGTGGCTAAAACGGATCGTGAAGTTCAAGTGCGCAGAGCTGCCATCCACGTAATTGTGCTGCTGCTTCGGGGACTCAGCCAGAAAGCCACTGAGGTCAGTCGGTCTCTCGCCATTTGCAGCTTCCTTACCTCTGCTTTTTGTCTGATTGTCAGCCTTCCTTTCTCCAAGGCAGGCCTCCTATCTTGTCCCCAGATGGACTCATGCAAATGCTTCCAGCAACAGGGATTTTTAGTACGAGTCTCTGTCTGATCTGTAACACGCTGGGCAAACCAGCACCTGGTGATGGCTGCAGGCAAACCAGGGCACAGGTTTATAGGCTGAGGCTGCCAGTTGCAAGGCGAGCTAGCTGGAACACGGTAGCCTGCCTGTGCACCTGCCCCTCGGTGACTCGGCTCCCTGACTCACTCGGGTGGTCAGGCTGCATTACTAAGGGCCTCGTTTCAGATATTTCCTTTCTGGCTGAGTTCAAGCCGTGAGATCTTCGGTGCTGTGTCAGTTAAACTTGCTTCCTCCTGCAGGTCTGGCTGAATTGCTCCCCGTTGTGGGGCAAGTATGGGAAGAAAGTTGCTATCTTCACAGGTGTGCTAGGAGTGAGTGACCTCTGCATTAATTTCCTTCTTGATTTCAATGGAGACCCCTTCCCAGCTGGATTTTACAGAGAAAGTCTGCATTACTAATTCACGTCCTGGCACCCACAGCGCTTGTCTGTGGCTTGCACATCACATTTAATCAAGTGTCAGGGAAGCCGTTACAGGAGTGATTGTTTTGTCACGCACACACGCCTTACTCATGCTAGAATCTGACCCTTTCAAGCTCCCAGCATCTGTTAGTACGAGCACGGCCTAGTTTCTTAACCCTTCCTTCCCTAGAGAGCCGCGTTCTCGCTATCAACACCCCGCTGCTCCTGTTTCAGCTCGGAGGCCGAGCCGCAGCGTTTCCACGTGGCCACTTTGCCCATGCTTCTCTCTCCCTTCTCCTCTGCTGTGTGTGGGTTAAGCTTTGGGTTGAGTGAGTTTATCTGCTGTAACGTGTCCAACTACAAGTTATAAAAATTCCAACTACGATGGCCTAAACAAGTGAGGATTTGCTTTTCTGACGTCACGAGAAATGTGTAGGTAGGTGGCAGTCGTTCAGCAGCCCAGTGTCAGTGGGGCCGAGGTGTTTATAATCCCAGGGGCTGCAGGTCAGCTGCCGCAGCTGGGCCGACTCGCGAGAACTTCTGCAGAGAAAGGGTTGCCCAGGAACCGGGAGCTCTCAGTCAGCTCGGATTTTGACGGGGTGGGGAGGTGTAGATCATAACGCGATAATCCGCCTAATTAAACAAACTGCAATAGGGTGAGAATGTGCTGTACAAGAGGAAGTTAAGAAGGATCCGTGTTTTTTCATCCATTGTTAAGATCTGCAAAGCTGCTGGCAAATTGATCACTGTTCCGTCAGTCAGCAGGGGAAACTGGGTGAGGGGCAAATGGGGACCCTCTACCATCTTTACAACGTTTGTATAAATTAAGGTGATTTCAAAATATAAATTACAACACTAGTAAAAGAAATCTATAAAACCTTGTAAGTGCACACATCCTTAGAGAGGTGAGAGGATGTGTGTGTGCGTATGGCAGAACAAAATGCCTGATTAGCAAAGTGAGAGAAGAAATGGAAACCCTGCCCCAGGGTGGGTATCCAGTGCAGGAAGAGGCTACGTGGGGCACTGCATCCCAGAGCGGAGTGTCTGGTTTGAGTGCCAGCTCTGCTTCTGATTCCAGCTTCCCACTAACGTGGACTTTGAGATGCAGCCAGGACTGTTCAGTACTTAGGATCTTGCCACCCATGTGGGAGACCCTGGTCTCCTGACTTCAGCCTGGCCCAGCCCCTGCTGTTGCAGGGATTTGGGAAGTGAACCAGGGGGTGGAAGAGCTCTCTTTCTGCATCTCCGACCCCCACCTCTGTCTTTGAAATAAAATGAAAAGGGGCTGGCACTTTGGCACAACAGGTTAAGCTGCTGCCTGTGATGCCAGCAACCAATATGGGCATAGGTTCAGGTCCCAGCTGCTCCACTTCTGATCCAGCTCCCTGCTAATGGCCTGGGAAAAATGGTAGAAGATGGCCCAAGTGCTTGGGCTCCTACGCCCATGTGGGAGACCCGGAAGAAGCTCCTGGCTCTGGCTTGGCCCAGCTCTGGCTTTTGTGGCCATTTGGGGAGTGAACCAACGGATGGAAGCTCTCTATCTCTCCCTCTCCCTCTGTAACTCTGCCTTTCAAATAAATAAACAAAATCTTTTAAAAAATCAAAAAAAAAATGAAAAAAGAAAGAAACTGTATTCAGATTTCTCACATGTGTGTGTTTCTGGGGGACGCGACAATGCGAACCTACTGTGTGGCCACGGGAGGTTTTGTTCCCTTCAGAAGCCACGTGAATGAAAACTTCTGGTCCCCGAGTCGTCCCCAGCCCGCATTCCCTGCAGCCCACTAACCGTGCCAGCTCAGTGAGCAGAGGGGAGGGAGGGATGGGATGCAGCTGAGTGCCCTCCCTGGTGCGTGCTTGCAGCCAGGTGTGTTAAGTCTTGTAATGGTAGGTGTGATTATCATCAGGGTCCCTCTCGTGGGAAGCGGCGCTGGCCGCAAAGCTCTCAATGTGGGCTTTCTCTGTAGGGCTCTGTTCTGCCCCCCAGGAACAGCTGAAATGAAAATGCTGCTTTGTGGATGAAGAAGTTTCTTGTTGGTTTTCCCCTGCTTCTAATCACCGTCTCGCAAGCCACCGTGCGCCAAAAGATAATTCCAGGTTTCAGTGAATTCTCGGTGGCCTGTCGTTGTGGCGTCCAAGGACTTCTGTGGCAGAGGCAGCTTGAAAAGGAGGCGCAGGAGAGAGAGCGGGATCAGCGAGGGGAGACGGCGTCGCCCCAGCCCGCGAGGCCGTCTGTACGTTTTCCCATTACATCACAGCCAGCGTGTTGTCTAGTCAACACCGTAGCCACGTGGAGACAAAGACGGGCCTCACTTTTATTCTTATAGAAAAACCTATTTTCCCTGCTTGCCTCTTTATGGCCTGTTATGTAGCCGACAGCCTCGTAGAAGCCAGAAGGAGCCCCCTTTAAACCTGTTCTGTCTTAGGCTTGCTGCCAAGCAGATTGGCTGGGGTCCCCAGGAGAGGGTTGTGTGGAGGCCTGTCCTTTCTGTTGGCCTCCAGCCAAAGAGTGGGCCTTGTCAACGTGGAGAAACTGGACAGCACCACGGCACGAGAGGCTTGGGCAGTCCGTACACTGCAGCTTGCATGGCTGTGAGCGTTGTCAGTGTCGGGTGGCCACATTCCTGAGTTCATCCCGAAGACAGTAACTGGGGCAGCAGGCACCGAGCCGTAGCCCATGAGCCTGGCAGCCCTCAGATAACAGCCGTGAGCTCTGGCCGTGACGTACCGAGAGCTCCTGGCGTCACCGCAGTGAGGAGCAGGCAGACTGAAGGGAGTCCAGGCGTAGGAGAGAGGAGAGGCACACGGCTGGGTTCCCACCATCTCGGCTTTTAGCCTAGGGGTGAGGGTGAAAGGCTGTTGGGCAAGGCACCGACACTGTCCGGGTCCTGGCAGAGAAATCACAGTCGTTCTGCTGGGGGGACCAGGGATGGAATCTGGGGAGACACAGCCGCTGGAGGAAAAGGAAAGATCCAGAGAGAATCCCCAAGTTCCATCTGCCTCCATCACTGGCAAACCCCCGAAACAAGCGAGATAATTACATGCTGAACAAATAAAAGCAGAAACTAACTTTACTCATCAGAGAGGAACAGAATCTAGAGTTTCCATAATTTCACATTTATAATATCAGAGTTACGATCCAAAATTACCAAATACAGGAAAATAGAACATACGTTCTCAAGATAAAATCTGTTGAGGCCAACTCCAAGACAGTGCCTTGCTGGAATTTTTAGACAAGGATTTCTTCAAAAATAAGCAAAAGCTGGAAGCATCTCCAGAGGGGCAGGGTTTGGGATCCATGATGACCGATGGCTGGAGCCAGGTTCTGAGCGAACCCAGGCCTCCACCCCAGAATGCTGGTGGTTTTTTATGTTGGTTCATGTATTTTATAACCCCTCGTATACAATTGCTTGTCTGCTGGTTTGTTGGAGCAGGAAGTCAGACAACAGTTGCCACAGTGTGTGTCAAAGTAGTTAGCCAGAAGCACTCCAGCGCCACAGTCGTCCGAAGGGCACTCGCAGCCCAGGCGACCGGCTGCTGTCTCGTCCCCCGCGTAGTACTCGGACTGCCACGGCACTCAGACAGCCTCCTCTTATGCGCGCTCCTTTGTAAAAAAAAAAAAAAAATTTATCTATTTTTTTGCAAGACAGTTACAGAGAGAGGAGAGAGAGAGATCTCCCATCTGCTGATTCATTCTCCAAATGGCTACAACTGCTGGGGTTGGGCTGGGCTGAAGACAGGAACTCCATCCAGGTCTCACATGTGAGCGGCAGGGGCCCAGCACTCAGGCCATCTTCCACTGCATTAGCAGGAAATCAAAACTGTGCCCGTATGGCATGCCAGCATCGCAGGTGGTGGTGTGACCCCTGCCCCACGGCGCCAGCCCCCAATGCTGATTATTCTTGGGAGTGATGTAAGACTTCTTCCTCTTCCTAGCACCACCATAAAGTGTCAACACAAGATGAAGAGTGGACTCCTCTTGAATGCTGGAGTCAGACAGAGTCCACCCGTCTTCCAGGTGCTGGCCAGCAAGGGTCGGCCTTTGCTGATCGGGAGGAATTCCTTCCTTGTCCTGGATCTTGGCCTTTACATTTTCTGCTGCATCCAGGACTTCCACCTCAGGGGTGATGGTCGTTTTCACAAAATCTGCATGTTGGTGGTGGGCCCACCACAGGTGGCGGATCTGAAAGGCCCAGCAGTGAATTTTTTGTTTAAGATTTCTTTTATATATTTAAAAGACAGAATTAGAGAGAAAGAGAGATCGCCTGTCCCTTGTTCAGTCCCCAAATGACTGCAACAGCCAGGACTAGGCCAGGCCTAAGCCAAGAGCTTCTTCCAGGTCTCCCACGTGGGTGCAGGGGCCCAAGCACTTGGCCATCTTCTGCTTTCCCAGGCACATTAGCTGGGAGCTGGATGA